CCTCAATTGTTAGGAGCTCAAGCAGAGATATCTACTCCAACCGATCGGTAATGTCGGAATATCCAAGATCACGTTGCGGGAGTCACTTTTGGATCCGATCTCCCTGAAGTTCGCTTATTGTACATTTTCCCATCTATGCAAACAACCTCGTACACATATCAGATTTAAACAGGCCTGTGCTATTTTACCACTTTTATAAATCTTTGGGCATGGAGTTTCACTGAATAGACCTTATTGCTTTGGAACTTCTAATTCTCCACCAATTGGACAACTGGATGCATAATCCTGGAGATTGATGAGAGAGGGTGGGAGAGGGAGACTTGTGAGGTAATGATCATTGTGTCTGATAGTAAGTGACCTTGTTAATAATGCAAGAGTACAGCTTTACTTTCCGAAACCACCCACACACATTTGGCAGCTTTGACTGTCATAGTTTTCGGTCGATCGATTGAGATTGATGAGAGAGATAGAGAGAGAGACCTGTGAGTGAATGATCATCCGATTTCGACATTTTTTCTTTATGTCCGTCTCACTTACTCAAACCTCAATTATCCCATTGTGGCCATTTTCCAATTCAGTCTCTGTAAAATAGGCTAACTGACTCTATTTTAGCACTTGGTTTCTGCTTTCTGGCTGGTATTCAAAATTTAAAAGGCCTTTTGTCTTTCCTCTCGTGTCTTTGTGCTCTCACTTATTTAAAAGAGACTCTAGCATATTTAAGAAACAATATTAGATTATATCTCTTAATTAAAATCCTGATATTCAATTTTTCTGTCAAATATAGGAAAGTTTCTAATATAATTTTGGCATTATGTATCAAGATTAGGTTCAAGATTAAGGGAAGTTGTAACTAGGCAAATATTTTTATTCTGTGGCAATGCAGAAAGCTAAGACGGCATGCAAAGCATTTATTAGATACCCAACAGCGTAAAATCCTTTTGATCTTTCGAAGGAAGAAAGCAACACTTGTTTAATATGGGTCATCTTCACATGCATAACCACTTTGAGAAGCAGGACTTAGGTGACAGTTAAAGTCATACCCGATGATGTCAATGAAACTTATGCAGTTAGGCTTCGTGTTTAGAAGGTACAATCGCTTGACACGTGACAGTCGATAACAATTGAAGCATTATTGCAAACTTCAATTATGGTTAACTTTACGTCTAAGAATTGTTTGAATTCTTCGTCTTGCAGTTTTGGTTCCTTAATGGCAAAGACACCGCGAACAATCAGGTTGATTTGGTTATTTGCACGAAGTCAACAGTAACAAAGCAGGAAATAACTGCGGCCTGAAGTGTCAATTACTCTGATTGAAGCTTAAAGGTAGTTCATAGACACCATTCAAGATTAGGCACTGGTTCCTAGATTCCAGATCTGGACAGCGTTTGATTATATCATTAATAATTATTTGTTGAATTTGTTGCTCATATTCATATAAATGTGTTCAGAGTTGACTGAAATGAACAAATGAAAATCAACCTAGTTATAACACAATTAAAATCGTTTCCTCTACCTGGGTCTCCAAGTAGGCAATTTATATCGTACGCTGCAAAGCTTAGGTAAAAATTGTGGTGACTAAACTCAGTGTTCTCAAAAATATTCCTTCTGTATTATATCAAGTTTGTACTTCATTTTTTCGCATGACTACGATTCTCATTATGCATACCTATTTAAGTGGCTTCAATTCGACTCGCTCCTCTATTGACACTGATTAGAAGTTAATCTTAAATGGTGTATTTTTCGTACATTTATTATTATTTACTTCCTTCTACAGTTTTTAAGAAATTTAAATATCCAGATAATAGTTATTCGGAGAGATTATTTAAATAATGGCTCCATAATTTATTTTATTTCCAATATTCATTGCACTCGTATTAAATTACTATTTGCTCCTAATATATCTTTTACAACGTAAAGATATTTTAATAGTATATATGAAGGATTATTGCCATTTGAAGTAATCGATATCAGTAAAAATCAGATGCATAGTAAAACTAGATGGTTCGCAAACGAATTCAAATGGATTGTAGCAAAATATGATTAAGTATTTACTTCGATGTTCATAAGTAGGTTTATCACGCAGTTCAAACTTCTCACAAGTATTACTTAGCACCCAGTTATATCAAAAAGATAAAGCTTATTGGCCAAAAGTTACGATGAATTTTCTGTTTATTTCTGTAATGCATAGCAAAATTTGATCAAAAACGTCATATTCCTGGGTAAATTTTTGAAGGTCAATTGTTTTTGTACATTACTTAGTACTGGTGCTATAACTTCGGTAACATTAAATGTTTCAATACCATATGATATAGCATTTATATTTAAAATAAAATGACATCACGTGATGTAAACGTAAGAATTGACGCTACCAAGAAAAATGAAAAGCGCTTATTGTTTAATGTTCCTTTAAAGAGACAGAAAAATAACGAAAGTGCCAATAGGTCTTTCGTTGAACCATTGGTAAAATTATACTAAATAGTTAGAATCCCAATTTAGACTAACTTAAATGAATATAGACAATATAATTCACTTGAAGAAGTACATAGAAGGGAAGCAGAGAAATGGACAGCAAAATTAGGCTATAATGTGTTGGAAAACAAGCGCAAGCATTTTGACATTGATGAGGACAGATTGGAACAAGGGGACTCAAAAATTCAGAAAGTTTGTTTTATATTAGGATTCTTATTTTACAAGATTGAAACTAGTATTTCTGCGGGAAGGTCCCAAGGATTTTTGTCCAATGGCATAGTATCCCACAACTATGTATTTGGTAAGATTACTGTTAAGTGATTCATCTAGAACTTTTTTGACAGCTCACGCTTTCCCTTCCTGCCTATTTCAGGTATATGCCGTGAAAATGATCTAAGAGATGGTAGATAATATTAATGCTCCTTATTATTCTTGTATATATTTAAAATTTCATTAATATTGGTACTATTTTAGATATTGCTCCATTTTATGGCGAAACCGATATTATAAAAATAATCAATATTTTACGAAATATGCCGGAAATACCTTTTTTCTATTTAACTCATACACTCCCGAAGAAACATATAGATTATCACTATTACAACTTAAAGTAACCTTAATTTTACTGTAATATATTCAAAATTTTTATAGAGTGTGTCCTTATAAGGATATTAATAAGAGAGACTACTATACACTTAGTACCACTGGCTGTTCTCATATTGAGGGAGATCATGTTTCTTTGATTTCTCTTGATAAGTTCGAACGTGAATATGAACTTTTTACGAATATACGAAAAGTGAGTCTCATTGCTACTTATAAAATAATTTGTATGATTTACAACTTTATTTTCTTCAAGCTGCCGTTATTTTCCCAATTTCGTATGTGGAAAGTATTTCTTCGATGGAAAAAGGTTGTCAGATATACTCATGTTTACCGTTGTCAACGTTACCTGGAAGACAATTTATTTATTGCTAATTCCACCTTGCGCCCGGCTTTACTTAACCTTCGGGATATGTGCTATAGGTTGCCAATTTTAACCATGAGTAATAAGCCAATCATTTTAATCAGATTCTTAAATTTTTCGGTTCCATTTCATTAGTTTATCTGGTGCCATACTTTGTCATGTTGAACGCAATCGTACAACAACTCTGTTAGAGTTCCTTGCACTGCAGTCTTCACAGATTGCGGAAGTAAGCAGTCGTCTGAAACAATTCCACAGCTTGACAAAAGACATCGTCTTGACTGCATGTCGAATCGCTCTTTTAGACTATGGATTTATGCCTGACGACAGTGATCGGGATGAATCTGAGCCATTGGGTAATGATAATTTAACTTATAAATACTTTACTTAAATAACATCAGTAGAACATTCTGTCATATGTACTACGATTTGGTTTAGGCAAGAATATGTATGATGTGGATGAATTGGTAGATGCTTGCAAACATTCAGCAAAACATAATCGGCAGGAACCGGTTCCATATGATGTGAATCACCCCCTTGTGGGACATGCAGCGTTAGCTCCTCTTTCTGATTCACTCAAACAAGTTCGCTATAATCGCTTCAAATTACAAAATCGCTATCAAAAAATTAAATCTCGTAATAGGCCCATGCATTTCTCGTTTTTCTCTGTTTCTGTTGTGTTTATGCTTAATTCAACTCCCGTTTCCTTCATATTTGCGTTTTTGGGGGGTGTAATGTAAGTTTGTGTCTTTTAGAGGCATCAAGTGGAAAGAGCTCATATGCCTTTCAGTGTGGTGAGAAGGATTGGTTTACAAGTTCTGGTGACAAAATGAGCTATACTCAGCAAGCCCGTAAGCGCAAAATGTGTAGACGTCTTGTTCGGTGAGTGCGAAATTTTGGCGTTCCATTTACCTGCCAACAGTACCTTCTTACCACCTCTCTACTTGCACTCTTTAGCTTCATTCGATTAGCGGATTACTTGACAATGAGCACCCTTCATTTTCTGACGAAGAAATCCGTCTACACACTTTGCAAAATCTTTCAGGAAGAAACAGCCAACGCTCCTACTGAACTAGAAATTGCTGAACTAGCCATTGATGCGCCTTTAGTTCTGCATCCTGAAGATATTGGTGCAGGAAGCACATTAAAAGCCACTGAATCCAGAGAGTCAAAAGCAGTGTCTGTCCGACAAAAGAGTGCGGTTATCGATCGTTTGAAGTCAAGTTTGAAAATTGTGACTGGAATTGTTGATAATTCGCCCAACCCACACTTGACAGAAGCTGTACGACCGATCTCTTCCCTTTTTCACCTTATGATTGATGAAAATTTTGTAATCTTCTAGAATTGTAATTTTATTAGGGTGTCAGGGACTCTACGGTGGCTTCATCGGAGAGTGCTATTCGACCTCCATCATTTGTAGCTGAACTGGTTCTTCAAAATGGGAAGCTGATTACCATTCCTACTGAAGATCAATTTGCCGATGGATTATCTCACCTAATGACAAAGTACCAGGTAATTTAATCCTGCATGCGTTTTTTTAAGAAGGACAATGATTTAAGAGAAGCTAATGCAGGTCAGACAATGCTGCAATTGTCCCAGTGGATAGACAACTAATGGAGATTCGGGGAGGGACTGAGTATATCATCTCAGGCTAAGGAGCTGGGCCCTGTTTATGGGGTGACGGTGGCTGGTGAAGGAAATGTGATCGACAGCGTTAATGTAGAGAGTGAGGGAGGGATGAATTAGCCATTGGCGTCCTCGGAAGAAGGATGGAATCTTACAATATTGGGTTTGGAAATCATTCAAAATACTACATGCTTCACCGAATTCCATTGATTTCACAACCTACGGATAAGATGGTGACAAAGAAGTTGATAGACTACTTAAATTAGAAGTGAATAGAAGGCATGGGTCTCATCACCGGTGAATACATCGTCGCAAGGATATTAAATATTACTCTAAGAATCCATTATTAGTTATGAGATAAGTTTATTTTATCTGATTTAACTATATATAGCAATGTATTCTACAATAGTTCAAATGTGGATAAATTGTGCCATCGGGAATAGACAAAATTGTGATATTTCTCTAGTTATATTTGTTGATTACCTTCATATCAAATACAAGTTTTATAGGATCAACCTTTAACATAACTACTAGCCTCAACCGTAAACATGTGGAATGCAGAATGTCAGGCTTTATTATGGTTATCATTAACCCTTTAGTTGTTTTCAGGGTTCACAGGGGGGGGGGAGGGAAGTATTTATTTATATTAAATTGCAGGCGTTATGATAGTTATCATTAGCCCTTTAGTTGACTTCAGGCTTCATAGAAGGGAAGGAACATCAAAGTGAAAAAAGTCGAGAGTGGGTGGTGGGTGGGACAGAAGAGTGTTTCAAAGATGTAAAAGAGACAACCACAAAGGTAGAGAGTAGGGTAAGTTGAGTGCTGTGGAAGTGGTACACCCTGGGCAACGTATACTCGTACGGTAAGAAAGTCTAGAAACCGGCAGTTGACTTCTGACTTCAAACTACCAAGACCCCATTGTATACTTTGAATAAAGGTTAAGTCGAAACTTCCGGTGTCAGGCCATATTTGTTAGTAAGATGACATCATGGAAAAGTAGTCCATCTTGTTTACACTTTGGTTTTCGTTTTAGGAAACGATGCTGTCAATAGACAATCTGGTTAATGACAGCTATTTTGATGCATTTTCGCGTCCTCTTATCAATGGAAAACGTGAAGAAAAGATTCCTGAGACAGGGCCTCAATTGGATTTAGTGTTTTCTGAGGACAAAGAACTGCAGGAGTTGATTCAAGGCATTAGCCATAGCATTCGGCAGTCCTTTGAAACTATAGAAAAATACATTGAAATCTTCAGAGAAATCAACTATTTCTATGTGGATAATGAAACTGTTACGGTGGATTCGCTCAGAAAAGAAAGAGAAGGTAATTCTAACATCAAATAAACACATTATCTCCCGCGACAAAACAAAATATTTGAAGTGATATATGGGCTGACGATTTATTCGCAATAAGTATAATTCATAACTGCAAATTATAAAATTTGACCTCACCCCCCCCCCACCCCCACCCCCAAAACCTGGGGTGACCTATGACCGCAGTGATGAAAGCAAGCAACCTATTTGATTTTGTTGAAGTGGTTGGTTATGCCATTTCGATAGCGTTTTCCTTTCAGCTTGACGAGATCAGTTTAGCTCACACTCGTCAATCTTCTGCGAAATATATCCAGTGTAATATTGATTTATTTATATCAAATGGCAGGCTTTATGATAGTTATCATTAGCTCTTTAGTTGACCTCCAGGCTTTATGATAGTTATCATTAGCTCTTTAGTTGACTTCGGGCTTCACAGAGGGGAGGAACAGACAAAGTCACAAAAAGTGGTGAGAATAACGGAATAATACTTCACAGATGCCAAAGAGACAGGCGGAGAAAAAAAGTAAGGTGAGTACTATGGGAGCGGTGGAACATGACATACAATGGGGTCATGGTAATTTGAATTCAGGAGTCAACTGGCGGTTAATAGACTTTTTTGCCAAATGAGAATACGTTGCCCAGGGTGCACCACGTGGAGGTAA